CTCTGACTTCCTCTCCTACTCTGCCTGTCACTCACTCTGCTCCACCTGCACCAGCCTCCTCCGCAGTCAAGCGCGTTCCAGCCTCAGGGCCTTTGCACTTGCTATTGTCTTTGCTTGGAGCGCTCCCCCTCCTCCTCTTCACCACAGGGCTGACTTCTTGTCCCATCACATCCTCGAAACCTAGTGGCTCAGCCCATAAACGGGTATTATCACAGAGCCTCTGTGGGTCGGCAAGCCCACTGGAGCGGCTCGGTGGAGTGCTTCCGCTCCGCGTCTCTCATGAGGTTTGGGCCGGGGCAGCCGTCCCCGGAGACCTGACGGGAGCTGGGGGGTCCGCACTCTGTCGCTTCCACAGCGTTCTGTCGGTCACAGAGACCAGCCCTGGCTGGAGGCCCGGCCCATCACTGGGGCCACCACGGAGCCTGGCTGTCTCATTCTCGCATTCTCTACACCTCATCGCCTTAATTCATTTTCTTTACGGTGCTTACACTTGATGGGTTTTTACATTTACTATTCTTTCATCCCTCTTCTCCAACAGTGTCACGTCCATAGGCTGGGACACATCATTGTTTGCATGTGTTTTATTTTGTTCACTGCTATATTCTCGGTGTCTCAGAGCTTGAAACATGGTAGGTACTCAATAAATATTTCCTGTGTTAGTAAACAGAGTCTACTTTAAGGGGGTCGGAGACTGATGAATGAGTGGTTGGTTTCAGGTGTCCAGGTGTAAGTTAACAAGGGTTTGGACTAGGAATGGAGAGAAATGGATAGCTGTTGATGAGCACTGTCCATTTTACTTTTTAACAGATTTTATTTATTTATTTTAGAGTGGGGAAGGGAGGGAGAAAGACAGGGAGAGAAACATCGATGTTGGTTTCCTCTCTTGTGCCCCATACTGGGGAGCTGGCTCAAAACCCAGGCAGGCACCCTGACTGGGAATCGAACCCGCGACCCTTTGGTTCATAGGCTGGCACTCAATCCACTGAACCACACCAGCCAGGGTCATTTTATTTTTATTTTAAAAGAAGATTGTATTTATTTATTATTAGAGAGAGGAGAAGGGAGGGAGAAGGAGGGGGAGAGAAATATCGATGTGTAAGAGAAACATCAACTAGTTGCCTCTCGCAGCCACCAACAAGAGACTGGCCTGCAACCCAGGCATGTGCCCTGACTGGGAATTGAACTGGTGACTGTTCATTCGGCGGGACGATGCTCAACCAACTGAGCCATGTTGGTCAGGGTCACTTGTTCATTTTAAAGTTTCCCATCTGTTTCTGCTACAATCCATCCTCCACAGGGAGGCAGGGCGATCCTCGCAGGCAAGTTGAACATGGTCTACCCCCACATGAATCCTTCAGGCTCCCTACGGCACAGGATTAGGAGTTAAAAGTGACCCAGGAACTGAATGGAGTAACTTTGGAGAGTCAAAATTATCAATGCTTTGCTCTGAGTGCAATTAGAGTGGGCAAAGAGCTCTCATTCTGGATTCAAAAACCTCTACACACTCTAGGGCATCTCAGAATGTGTCATTTGTCACAGCTTCCCACAGGCAAACAAGGAAACCATCTCATGATATCAAATATTGGACTTTATTTTGTTATTTATGCTCAGTCTCTCACACTCACTGTAAGCTTTCTCGGGCCCCAGATTGTTTTCTGCAGGGTTCTGAACACTTTTTACCTGGTCCACGCCTCCTCATAGTTCAGGTTTCCACTCAGACACCACCTTGCTGAACCTGTATCCCGGTTGGGTTGGGTGCCCTCTCTGGGCTCCTAGAGTCACCTGTACTTTCCCTAGAATTTACTTATTTAGCAAGTTTCTTCCATATTTACTGCCTATCCAGATAGAATATAAGCTCCATGAGAGAAATGAGTTTTCCAATCCATGAACATGGTATGTTATATTCATTTATTTAGATCTTCTTTAACATGTCTCAGTAGGATTTTATTGTTTCTGGCGTAGAAGTCTGGCATGTCTTTTGTTCAATTTAGTCCTAAGAATTTTTGGTTTTGATATTATGGTGAAGGATATTATTTTCAATCTCATTTTACAATTGATTCCAGCTCAGACACAAACATAAGATTGATTTTTGTCTATTGATCTTGCATCCTGCAACCTTGCTAAATTCACTTAATTTCAGTAGTTATTTTGATTCCTTACAATTTTCTAATAAACAACCATATCATGTGCAGATATTGACAGTTTTATTTCTTCTCTCTGATCCTTATGCCTTTTATATATTTTTTTATTGATTTGTTGTTCCACTTATTTATGCATTCATTAGTTGATTCTTGTATGTGTGTTGACCGGAGATCAAACCCACAGCCCTGGTGTATTGGAACAACTCTTCAACAAGCTGAGCTACCAGATCAGGGCAGTGCCTTTTGTTTCTTTTTCTTGCCTTATTGCGCTAGCTAGGACCGCCAATACAATGTTGACTAGAAGTGATGGAGTCCAGCCCTGGCTGGGGTGGCTCAGTGGATTGAGGGGAAGCCTGCGAACCAAAGGGTCTCCGGTTGGATTCTGGATTAAGACACATGCCTGGGCTGCAGACCAAGTGCCCAGTAGGGGGCGTGCAAGGGACAACCACACATTGATGTTTCTCTTCCTCTCTATCTCCTTCCCTTCCCTTCTGTCTAAAAGTAAGTAAATAAAAATTTTTTTTTTAAAGTGATGGAGTGGAAATGCTTGCTTTGTTTCCAGTGCCATGGAGGAAGCAGTTAATATTTCATCACTAAAAATGACGCTATTTGTAGGTGTAAAGGCCCTCTATCACACTAAGGAACTTCAAGGCAGGGAATTTTGTCTGTTTTGTTTACTGATTTATACCGAATGTGTAGCATAATGCAGTTAGAGAGCAAGTGCTCAGTAAATACATGATGAATGAAAGAATGAATGAGTTTAAGCTGCATAAACTCACACAGTGGCTAGTAATTTGGAATTGGGCTCACCTAATTAGCAGCGTGGGTTAAGGCAATTGACCTAATCTTTGTTTTCTTCCTCTGTAAAATGGGGATTAGAATAGTGCTTGTCACTTAGAATTATTCTGAGGATTTAATGAGAGTATCCCTGTAAAACAAGAGCACAGAGTCTGACACTTGGATAGTGCTCAATAAACATTAACTTTTATTACCTCACTTCTCTGAGCCTTGCTTTCCTCTATAAAAGAAAGGATATTCTAATCCTTAAGTCCTAGAGTTACAAGGAGGGTTAAATAACATTATGCACATAATGTGCCTAGCACAGTTCTGGGCACAGAGGAAGCCATTAGTGAATGCTTACTGTTATTGCTTACCAAGTCCCCTACCTATATCGCATGGGGAGACATGGAGATGCGTCAATCAAGGACCAGTCTGTTGGAAGCTGAGAGGCTGATGGAGGAGACAGGTAAGTGTAGAGATCATGATGCCGCAGTGTAGTAAGGAGTCAAAATTAGTGAAGGAAAACCTAACTAAAATAAAGTCGGGAGGCCAGAAGGGGGAGCTCTCACACAGTGCCACTTGATTGATATAAATTACAGGAAAATTTGTCAGTTACAGACCGGACCCAGATGAAAAAAAAAAGTCAACAAGAAAGAACCATGAGTCATAAGCCCCAACAGGGGAAGACGTACATCGCATCTTCTTCCAGAGATCGAGCACCCCAGCAGCTCAGCCGATGAGAAACCCTCATCTCCCTGAACTCGCGCTTTTCTCCAATGGATTTTCCTTCGAAACAAGCCCTCCTAACCTTTTCCTTCTTTTCCCTTAAACGAGGTTTACCTCCTCTGTTGAAGTTGCCTATGGTTTTTCTATAGTTTGTTTGTCCCGAATTGCAATTCTTGGCTATTTCCGGATAAACCCATTTTTTCTGATTAAAAAAAAAGAAAAGAAAAAGAAACTTTTATTTTTAAGATCAGCAGGGGAAACATAAAACCATATGTGGACCCAGAGGCACATTTGAGACTGAAGCTTGAGACTGAAGTTTGCCAGCGGGTTCGGGTCCCTCCGGATTCAGACATAAGCTTACTCCTACAAGGAAACTAAAATTGTTTATAGCACGGAAATTTGGAAACATCCTAGGACCTGGGAAACATTTGTGTTACATCCTTGTACTGCATCAGTATGCGCTGTTAAACTTGAGTTTGTGGTACAGGGCGTGGCCATTGGCTGGCTGGGACACGGGGTGGGAGTTACTTTTCATTACACGCTTTTGTACCTTTTGCATCTCGTCCCATGTTTAAAAAATAAATGTTATTTTAAAAATTACTCTGCGGAGCCCTGGCTGCTGGTATGGCTCAATGGACTGAGTGCCAGCTTGAGAACCTAAAGGTCGTTGGTTTGATTCCCCATCCAAGCACATGCCTGGGTTGAGGGCTAGGTTCCCAGTGAGGGGCGAGCGATAGGCAACTGATGGATGTCTCTCCTACATCGATGTTTCGCTCCCTCTCTTTCTCCCTTCCTTCCTCTCTCTCTAAAAATAAATAAATAAAATCTTTTTAAAAATAAAATTACGTTGTGGAAAAATAATCAATGCTATCCGTTAATGTTTATGATTTATTGTTATGTGAAGAAATTAAATGATCAAAAAGCATCTTATTTTACACCTGCGTAGAAAAAAGACAGGGCAGGAATATAATAAAATATAGCAGTAATCGCTCATTGGTGGGATTTATGATGAGTTTCACTTTCTCCTCTGGGCTCTTCGAGATTTTGCAAAGGTTCTATATTAAAAGTTTTGCTTTTTGTTTTTTGGCCATTGGAATTAAAGTTAACAACAAAAACTACAAGTCCCGGCAGACATCGCGCCTCAGGCTCCTGAAGACCGGCCTTCCCCTGGCACAGTGACCGCTGGGATTCGTAGTCCAGCAGCAAGAGCAAGGTGGAACGCCTAGTACCGGTACAGATGACAGAGGAGGGAATCGTTGCCATCCTGACCAATGGACGGTGAACACTGGACCTGAGTGGCGCGCACAAAACCAATGGATGAGCCTCTCTGTGTGAGTGACGAGTATTTCAGCCTACGGATGCCTTGTGAGGCGGGGCAGTGCGCGGCGTCCGTAGTGCGAACCATGGGAGGCGGCTGGTGGTGGGCTCGGGCTGCCCGCCTGGCCCGACTACGCTTCCGGGGGGCGCTGCTGCCGCCTCCGCGGCCCCGGAGCGGGGGATCCCGGGGGTCCTTTGCCCCCGGCCACGGCCCCCGCGCCGGGGCTTCGCCGCCCCCCGTGTCCGAGTTGGACCGAGCGGACGCCTGGCTCCTCCGGAAGGCGCATGAGACAGGTCTGGGACTGGGGCGGGGGTCGTCCCAGCTGGCAGACGGGGTTCGGGGTAGCCGAGTTGTCCGCGCGCGCGAGTTGGAGATGGGGGTGGGGCTTCTGCTGGAAACAGGGCCCCAGCGCGGGAGGGAGCCCTTCTTCCGTATACGCACAGAGAAACGGTGGCTTCAAGAGCGCAGTGCGTCCGCATGGAAGGGCTTGCGAATGGATCGGGTTAGTGGTGTGCAGTACGGGTCGGGGAGGCTGGTCGGCCTAGGACAGGCAGCTTGTGCTACCCGGACTAGAGAGGCTTCCAAAGAGGGCTAAGGGCGGGGGAATTGGCTACAGGAAAGGTCCGCGTTGGAGGGGCCAGTTCGGATTGTAGAGGCGACCACCCTGCATAAGGCGGGAGTGTGGATCCTCACAGAAGAGGGGGAAGTTTCTGGTTGGAAGAGGGAACAACCAATAGTAGGAAAGCTAGGGGCTGATTGGAGGACGAGGTGATCCAGGCTGCAGGGGGCGGGGCCTCATGTCAATTGGAGAGGATGGGGCATCTTCTAGATACGGGATAGTGTAGGGGCGGGCGCGGGGGCGGTTTGTAACCCAGCTAGCCTGTCAGCGTCCACACCAGGGACTTGAATGGATGTGAATGACATCAAATCTGGGGAGAGGGAACAGTTTGTGCCAGGAGGTCCGAGAAAGAAGCGAAGGCAGCCTATGGGAATACATATGTGGGGAGAGGGAGGGCCGAGATGACCTCTTGGGGTCTTCCCGTCCTCAGATTCAGGTTCTGCAATTTCGGCCCTAGGTCCTCCTCTAGATTCTGCGGACTGTCTTGAATGTTCGGTGTTGCAGAGTTTGGGGAAGAGGAGCTCAGAGACGGAGACCAGGGAGGGTTTGGGGGATAGGGTGAGGTAGGGGTGCCAGGACATGGTGGGAACCTGGAGCAGGACGGGCAGCGGGATGACTAGGATGACCTCAGTGTGACTGTCTGGGCCGAGGGGCTTTGGGGGCAGGGTTTGGGCTGATGCTGATGTCTCCCTCGTCTCCCACCTCCCTCCAAGCTTTCCTCTCCTGGTTTCGAAATGGCCTCCTGGCATCGGGCATCGGGGTCATCTCCTTTATGCAGAGTGACATGGGTCGGGAAGCTGCCTACGGTGAGTGCGGACCCCCGCTCTGGCCCCCACCAGGGAGTGTGGATGTTCCCCCCCAGTTAGGGAACGTAGAGCCCCCCTCCCTGGCGAGTGTAGATTTCCTCCTGCCCCATCCCCCCCCGTGGTAAGTGCAGAGCCCCTCACCCTCCCCGCATGGGAAGCTGTCTCACCCTCACTTGTGTCTGTCTTCCACACACCCCACCCCACCCCCACCCCCGTGTTGTGGGCACTGGACCCGCCAGAGCGGGTGGCCTGGGCATGGCTGTGGGGCTGTCCCTCCGCTCCAACCCCTCAACGAAGATGAGGGTCCTGGTTCCAGCCCCTGCCCCTCCAACCCGATCTTTGCTCTCAGACCAGCCCCCCAACCCCTCCAATGATCCCGCACCCCGCCTCTAAGTCCTGGACGCGCCTCGGATACCTTCTTATGCCTGGTGACCTTGGCCCTGTACTGCCCCCGACCCCTGCTCTGCCCTTGGGCTTGCCCCTTCCCCGCTCTAAGTCCCCCTCAGTCTCCTGATCCCCGCTCTGCCTCCAGGATCCGCCGCCCTGACCCTGGCCTTCCTCCTGCACCCCCGCCCCAGCCCAGGACCCCGGGCCTTCCCCACCATTGACTCTGGCCTTCGCCCTCCCCCACAGGCTTCTTCCTGCTGGGCGGCCTGTGCGTGGTGTGGGGCGGTGCCTCCTACATGGTGGGCCTGGCAGCGCTGCGGGGGCCCATGCAGCTCTCGCTGGGGGGCGCAGCGGCGGGCGTGGGCGCTGTGCTGGCTGCTGGCCTGCTCTGGGCCTGTGCTGTCGGCCTCTACATGGGCCAGCTGGAGCTGGATGTGGAACTGGTGCCCGAGGACGATGGGACGGCCACTGCCGAAGGCCCCGACGAAGCGGGCCGGCCACCGCCCGAGTGAGCAACGGCCACGGGGAATGGCCGGGTGCTGGACGGCCTGGGTCCAAGGACCAGGACATTAAAACCTGACCCTTCCCTCGCTCCAAGTGGTCGTTCTTGTGACAGGGGAAGGCCAGGCCTGCAGGAGGATGGAGGGAGGAGGAAGAGGTGGCTGGGAGGAGGGAGGAGGGAGGAGGGAGGAGCTCCATGGCCTCCAGAGACCGAGCTACAGATGGGGAGCAGGTCTTTAATTATTACAGCGCGCGGATGGGGCCGAGAGCCCTGTCTCCTCCCCCACATAGGGGCCTGCGCCCACCCCCAGGGTCCAGCTCTGCAGGAGGCGCTCCCAGTCATCAGTCCCCCTTCCGCTGCGCCCTGGTGCCCGCGGGCCCCGGGTAGGGCAGGCCCAGGGGTGAGTAGAAGGCCTCCGGGAAGGCGGGGCCCGGGCCCAGCCTCGGCAGGTGTGGGTACATGAGGCCCAGCTCCGTGGGGCCGTAGCGGATGGTGCTCGGCGTGCATAGGCCCCGCATGACGGGAGGCAGGAAGCCCGCGTGGAGCAGGGAAGGTGGGGGGTCCCCAGGAGACACCAGGCCCCAGGGCCGCACGAGGTCCTGCTTCAGGGCCCCCGTCCGGATGACTGACGTGAACTCGCGCCGCGGTGGGGCTGGGTGGCCAGCCGGCTCCTCGTCCCCGCTGTCCTCTGTATCTTTCGTCTCCCCCCAGCCAGGCTCTACTTTGATGCCTTTGCCCCGGGTTTGGGGGGCTTCGTCCTTGTCCAGGGGGGCAGCCTGCTTCTCTCGCACGGGAGACGCTGGCTCTGGAAGAAGATTTTGAAGGGCGCTGTGTGCGCGTCCCCAGCCCTCAGGCTGCCCATCTGTGGAGCCAGTCTGAGCTCAGTGGGTCTCCATGGGGCTGGTTTTGTCCCCCAGAGGACATCTGGCACTCTCTGGAGACGCTTTTTGGTTGTCACAGCTGGGGAGGAGGGTGCTCCTGGCATCTACTGGGCAGAGGTCGAGGGTGCTGCGGGCGCCCCACAGAGCGCAGGACGGGGCCTCCACACACAAGGAATTACCAGGTCTCTGATGGCATAGAGTGGGGGCTGAGGAACCCTGGTCTAGACCGGCGCTCACAGAACTCTCTCTGTGACGGCGACATGCCCTGTCTGCGCCATACGGCGCCTGGGCCACCGGCCACGTGTGGCTACAGAGTGCTTCAAATGTGGCGAGTACAACAGAGGACCCGAGTTTTTAGCTTTAATGTAAGTAGCCAGCCATACGTGGCTGGTGGCTTCTAGACTGGACAGTGCAGACCCCAGGAGACCCACTGGGCGGGGCCTCGCAGGGGTCGGGGTGGGAGGCGGGGCTCACCTGCAGGTTCCGGCTCTGGGCTGGACGCGTCCTCGCAGGCTGTGCTGGCTGGAAGCTGGAAGGCGTCCAGAGGTGTGCGGCCACCCTCAGCTTGGCTGGGACAAGACAGGTGGGGTTGGGAGCCAGGATTCCTGAAGGCAGGCTCCCTTCTGCGCCCCAGTCTTGCAAGTGTAGACTTCCCCTCTGCCTCTGAGCGTTGAGCACTCTGAGAAACCTGCGCCTCGTGCCTGGACCCCCAGACTCCAAGCTGGTTTCTAGCCCAGCTCGACCTCACCTCCTAAGGCTAGACCTGTGCGGCATGGCGTCCAAACGTCACTGCCTAGGTGTCCCCTGGGCACCTCCCACTCACCTGACCTCAGTGTCTTCCCTCTGAACTGCCGCTCCTCTCAGGCCCGGCCAGGCCCAGCGAAGCTGGAGTCCTGGGAGCCCACAGGGCCTGGCGTCCCCAGCGCCTGCCCAGCCTCCTCCCTGCTCTCCTAGCCCTCGTCTTGCCCCTCAGACCGCCCTCTTCACAGCAGCCGCCGGGGCCTCTCCGAAAGGCAGATTGGACTGTGACCCTCTCTGCCTTTAAACTCTGCCATGCGTGGCTCTCCCGTGCCCCAGTGTCGGCCTCGACGCCCAGCCTGGGCCTGAGGCCGCTTTGGCCCGACCGCGCTCGGAGCATCATTGCTCTCTGCTCCCCTCTGCCTCATGTGTGCGGCAAGGATGTTCCCCTTCCAGGCCTTGGCCTTCTCTGTCCCCCATTCCTCCTCCCCTTTTCAACCCTCCCACGCTTGTCCCCTCCTAGAAGCCCTTCCTGAGGATCCCCCACCCCGAGGTGGGGAGAGACAGCAGAAGCTTCTGAAGGGGGCACCAGCGCCCTGTGGGCCGGGCAGGGTGCCACGCTCACCTGAGCACGTAGCTGACCCAGAGCACGTGGCGCTCCCCAGGGCTCTTCCCACTCACAGCCACGGTGGCCACCGACTGCAGCCACACAAAGCCCCCGGCACGCTGCAGCCAGCGGTAATACCCGGTCATCACCTGGCCCTTGTCCAGCACTGGGCCCAGCCCAGGGACAGGAGAGACCAGAAGGGATGGGCATGAGACAGAGACAGGAGGACAGGAAGAGACAGGCAGAGGGAGGTGAGACAGATGGACGGGGGAGGCAGAGGGAGAGGAGTGGTCGGGGAGATGGGCAGAGAGGAGACAGGGAGAGAGGGAGATGGGTGCGGAGAGACAGCCAGGTGCAGAGGGGCGGGGAGGGGCGGGGAGGCAGGGGCAGAGAGGGGCGGGGAGGCAGGTGCACAGAGGGGCAGGGAAGCAGGTGCAGAGGGGTGGAGAGGGGCGGGGAGGCAGGTGCAGAGGGGCGGGGAGGCAGGTGCAGCGGTGGGGGACAGGTGTAGAGGGGTGGGGAGGCAAGTGTAGAGGGGCAGAGGAGGCAGGTGCAGAGGTGGGGGACAGGTGTAGAGGGGCGGGGAGGCAGGTGCACAGAGGGGCGAGGAGGCAGGTGCACAGAGGGGCGGGGAGGCAGGTGCAGAGGTGGGGGACAGGTGTAGAGGGGTGGGGAGGCAGGTGTAGAGGGGCAGGGGAGGCAGGTGCAGAGGTGGGGGGACAGGTGTAGAGGGGCGGGGAGGCAGGTGCAGAGGTGGGGGACAGGTGTAGAGGGGCGGGGAGGCAGGTGTAGAGGGGCAGGGGAGGCAGGTGCAGAGGTGGGGGACAGGTGTAGAGGGGCGGGGAGGCAGGTGTAGAGGGGCGGGGAGGCAGGTGCAGAGGTGGGGGACAGGTGTAGAGGGGTGGGGGAAAGGTGTAGAGGGGCAGGGGAGGCAGGTGCAAAGGTGGGGGACAGGTGTAGAGGGGCGGGGAGGCAGGTGTAGAGGGGCAGGGGAGGCAGGTGCAGAGGTGGGGGACAGGTGTAGAGGGGTGGGGGAAAGGTGTAGAGGGGCAGGGGAGGCAGGTGCAAAGGTGGGGGACAGGTGTAGAGGGGCGGGGAGGCAGGTGTAGAGGGGCAGGGGAGGCAGGTGCAGAGGTGGGGGACAGGTGTAGAGGGGCGGGGAGGCAGGTGTAGAGGGGCGGGGAGGCAGGTGCAGAGGTAGGGGACAGGTGTAGAGGGGCGGGGAGGCAGGTGTAGAGGGGCAGGGGAGGCAGGTGCAGAGGTGGGGGACAGGTGTAGAGGGGCGGGGAGGCAGGTGCAGAGGTGGGGGACAGGTGTAGAGGGGCGGGGAGGCAGGTGTAGAGGGGCGGGGAGGCAGGTGCAGAGGTAGGGGACAGGTGTAGAGGGGCGGGGAGGCAGGTGTAGAGGGGCAGGGGAGGCAGGTGCAGAGGTGGGGGACAGGTGTAGAGGGGCGGGGAGGCAGGTGTAGAGGGGCGGGGAGGCAGGTGCAGAGGTAGGGGACAGGTGTAGAGGGGCGGGGAGGCAGGTGTAGAGGGGCAGGGGAGGCAGGTGCAGAGGTGGGGGACAGGTGTAGAGGGGCGGGGAGGCAGGTGCAGAGGTGGGGGACAGGTGTAGAGGGGCGGGGAGGCAGGTGTAGAGGGGCAGGGGAGGCAGGTGCAGAGGTGGGGGACAGGTGTAGAGGGGCGGGGAGGCAGGTGTAGAGGGGCAGGGGAGGCAGGTGCAGAGGTGGGGGACAGGTGTAGAGGGGCGGGGAGGCAGGTGTAGAGGGGCGAGGAGGCAGGTGCACAGAGGGGCGGGGAGACAGGTGCAGAGGTGGGAGACAGGTGTAGAGGGGCGGGGAGGCAGGTGCAGAGGTGGGGGACAGGTGTAGAGGGGTGGGAGACAGGTGTAGAGGGGTGGGGAGGCAGGTGTAGATGGGCGGGGGGCAGGTGCAGAGCAGAGGGGGCGGGGGGCAGGTGCAGGGAGAGAGGGTGCCAGGGAAACACACAGCGGGGAGAAGACAAGGGCAACAGTACAGAGGGAGACAGAGAGTCGGAGTGAGAAATACCTGGAGCTCATGCAGCCCCTGGATTTGCAAGGGTGGGTCACAGAGGCCCCGCAGCCAACCCCCACCCCACCCCACGCCCAGCTGTTGTGCAGAGCTCCTTGCCGCTCCTCTGTGCTGTGTGGCAACAGGAGGGGACTGTGGTTGTCCCCGAAGCAGGACCTGCAGGGAGCAGGGCAGGGGGGCGCTGAAGTGCGGAGGGGCAGGCAGGGGGAGGGGTCCTCACGGTCCAGGTGGCTTTGGCGGATCCTGGCTGCGTCCTGTCCGTGGACAAACTGGTAGCAGCTGCGGCCCACCAGCTCTGAGGGCCCCAGGTCCATGTGGTCGCTGACCCTAAAGGCAGGGGCGACAGGGAGGAGGGGGTGGCCGAGACCGTGGGGTGGGGAGAGGCAGGGTTGGCTCTGGGATCACCTGGGGTTGCCACTCTTCCTGGGGAGTGCTCTGAGCCTCAGTTTCCCCTCTACGAACGGCTGTAATAGTGTCCCCTGGAGAGGCTCCAGGCACGCGAGCAGACCTGGCCATGGTACTATCTCGCCAGGTCACTATTGCCTTTTCCTCACTGCGAGGTGAGGAGAGAGTGGATGAGAGATGAGGGGCCGGAGAGGCCAGGGAGATGGGATCAGGGAGGGGCGAGGCTCTGTCCAGGGCGCCCCCAGGGAGCGCTCAGACCTCCATGGGCACAGTACTCCCGCGGGAGGCCCCGGCCCGGCCCGGCCGCCTTCCCTCCCTTCCCCTCCCTGCTGTCCCGCCTCCCGTGGCTCCCCAGAGCGCACCCCCAGCTCTCCTGTGCACCCCCATCCTCCCGCTTCAGCGTCACCCC